AAAGCGACGAAGTACATCCTCAAATCGAGAATCATTCACTCATAACAATAATGGAAAATCCAGAAAACCCAAAAAATCCAAAATTGTACAAAAAATTTCATATAAAATCGTATGAATCAACCATCCGTTCTCATATTCGTTCACTTATTGAAAAATTTTCTTCTAATATTGAATATTTTTTTACATTATTGTGATAAAAAAAAAGCATACGATCTAGAAACATTTGAACTCGAATTAGCTTTACTTACACTGATCGAATTATTACAAGAACAATTTAACAGATTTAATGGGAAAAAACTTCATTTTACTTACTATGATCTTATGATTCCAGCGTCAACTGATTCTGTTTGGACATATAATGATTACAAATTAATCTTTGCTGACACACTTGTCGAATATATTCGTACAAGATATTTACTTTCTATTTACAAGAAAGATATAGATTCTGATATTGAAAAAGAAATTGATAATATTTTCATGAACTTCATGCCTGAATTCTTAACATGTTTGCAAGTGACATTAAATAATTTACTTATTATTAATAACACCAGTTATTCAGACATTATCGCGAAATTAGTATGTAAAAGAATATTTATGTATTTTTTCAACTATATTTTCCCACCCATTACTTATCCACTTGTTATTTATGATAAGAGAAATTCGTGCAGTCGAAGTTATAAATGTCAGCTTTGTAAGTAATAATTAGTTGTATCTACTTTGTTTTTGAGAAATTTGAACTACGTTCTATTTCTCAATATTGTAAATTGCAGAATAAGATAATATGTTTAATTTTTAGGTGGATTTATTGGGATAGAGTTCTTCAAATTTGTATGTTGGTCATCGTTCTGGTTATCTATATATAATATTATACAATACAACTGGTTTTCCGTTGTTACACAGAAAGCAAATGAACTTGAAGTTTATTATCCATTAGGATTAATCATTTCGACAACATCTATTCTTCATATTTACGAGGCTTTGATATCCTTATCTGTTGTACTTCGAGTTAGTTGAAGAATTTGATACGGATCTTTCGACCTTTGTTTCTATCTAATTTTCC